AGGTTATAACACTTGCCTAATCTTCATTGATCTGAAAAATCCGAACAGCAAAGATCAATTACCTTATTTTTTGGACCTTTTTTGCACCTTTCTCCCCACTAAAAGTGTGGAAATGTTGTGCATCTTATACACCGAATACAGCTCCCAAAGCCCTGCCCCCGCATCCCATTTTTGTGAAAAATGGGTGAAAAACGGAGGCATTTTTGCCTTCCCCCACCCCCAAGAAGCACTCTGCAGGCTTCAGCAGGGCTGTGGGAAGGGAAAAATGCCTCGGTTTAGGTGAAAAACGGGAGCATTTTTGCCTTCTCTGAACCCGCAGAATGCTCCTGGGGCCGGAGAGGACAAAAACTTTTTTCTTGACTTACCTCTTTGAAATCTTGGTGCATCTTATACAGTGGTACGTCTTATAATCCGAAAAATATGGTTGTACTTGGATGAGAACCAGGAAACAACAGGAAAGTTAAGACCTTTCGGAAATAAAAACAAATCCTATCTGTACAGTTGCTAAAAAGACTATATACTGTGTTTCCCCAAAAATAAGACAGAATATTCCTGTCTCTCTGTCTCTGTCTCTCCCTCTCTCCCCCCCCCTCTCCCCCCTCTCTCTCACACACACGGACACCTACACATACCCAGAACCCAACTCCAACTTTCTGGCTTGTTTCAGATGCTTAAGATGCTGGTAACAAGCAAAACATCCACAAATCCAATGAAAATAAAGCATTTTAATGACTTAGAATTGTATATGATTCTCAGTGAGTTTAATGGGACCTTCTTTCAAATAAATATGCAACAAGCATTATACTTTTACTGTTTATGTTTTATTGGAGGCCATGCTAAAGCTAAATAATACCAAAATGTTTCCTGGAGATCGGCAAACAGCACAGCAACCAGAATTTTTAACATGATTTTTATTAGGCCGCCACAGATATAAAAAGAAACAAATAATGTTGAGTCAAGATATGCTGTGACGTTACTGTATGATCTTCCTTTCCTCCGCTGGATGACGTGGCTCTGTTTACAGAACTCCACGTCACTGCTGTGTGGATAGATTGACACATTCAGTCAGCCAAGAAAGGGCTCATCGTTGTGCACGCTGGACTGATGATAACAGTGAAACCGGTTCTCAGAAGAGAGAGTTGTCAACCGGGATACTGATTGTACTGGCCTCGCTTGTTTGCTTTTGTCGTGAGCTGTGTGAATCCATTAGCATTTTGTGAAGTAGGCTATTGTGGTTCTTAAACTAACCACAACTTTTTAAAAAGTCACAGCTTAAACCAACCTTTGAACTCAACCAATACACTTCTGGGGTTTTATTTAAAGTACAGGTAGTCCTTTACTTACAACGGTTCACTTAGTAACCATTCGAAGTTACAACAGCACTGGAAAAAGTGACTTATGACCATTTCCCACACTTATGACCGTTGCAGCATCCCCATGGTCACATGATTTACATTCAGATGCTTGACACCTGGTTCATATTTATGACGGTTGTTATGCCCTGGAGTCACGCGATCATCTTTTGCGACCTTCTGACAAGCAGTCAATGGGGAAGCCAGATTCACTTAACA